TTAAAAGCACGGCGCCAGTTGTATGTTTTTTTAGACATTTATAATTATGATGGCCATTATAGGCCATTCTATTATAAAATATGTATTAATATACCTATAGCTAGTGATGTTCGTTCACGAAGACAATGTGTTTTAATTTTTGAGATTCAAGTGCATATAACGTCTTTCGCTGCAGTATAATACATTAGATCTCTGCGTGTAAAACAAAACAATAACCAGGCGATTTTTGTGAGAAATATGGCATGCACTTAATCCAATTTTTTTAATTTATAGATTAAAATTTAAGAGGTACCGTGTTTTTTTTATGAAATATCGTATGCATTTGAGTAGATACATAGGGATATCTAGATATTAGCTTGGTACTTAGAGTTTATGGCTATGCAAATTACCTACAGCTGCTAGATTATTATTGAAAAATATTATGCTCGAACTGGTTTATCGTTATTATCGTCTATTATAGTGCAACATTTCACGACTTTCGGGCTTGTATATAATAACTATAAACTAAAACTATACAAGTGCGTGTTATTTAATACTTAAGCACAAAAAATATGCCAAAAAATTACACCAACGTATCTATCACAGTGCAAACTATTTCATGTACCTATACTACATTACTATTTACTACACGGCATACACTAGGTGTTGGTACATTGTAGTTGTCCATGAAATATGAATAACATAACACTTATTATAACGGCCGAAAATGCTATTACCCCAAAACGATTATATTAATAAAAACCCGAGTAGGCAAGTAACCCGCGATGTTCAAGCCATACTTTAAATTATTAAAAAAATTAAAACCATAAAACTATTTTTCGATTTAAAATATTATACATAGTATTATGCTTGACATTATTTTAATGAATAGCAGTATACATGTATAATATGTATATATATATATGATCATTGAACATTCTGTCGCATAAAATAATTTAATTTATATTTACCATTTATTACTAATTATTTAATAGGTAACAATTTTTAAACGCAAAATCGTAAATAAAACATAAATGACTAATGATAGACCTTGTGTTATAATAGGTATATTGTTTCATATATTTTATTCCTTTTATAAATTTATAATTGACGTACCTAGGTAATTGTATGCAGAATATACCATATAATATTGTAGTCTATGTATGTGTAATATATAGATGTAAAAATGTTACTCAATATAAATTAATTAAAATATGCTCAACGTCAATATCTGTAACGGATATTGTTTGCACATATGAACATGAAAAAATAAAAAGTTCATATTTTAATAATATAATAATGCTATTAGGTAAGTGTTTTTCTTCTACATCCATGTTCGAGTAGGTATAGGACTATAGGAGGTGTGTATTTATTAAATACATATACCTAATGGTTTAATTTAGAGTATACAAAGTACGTATGAAATAATAATACATGAAGGTTGTTTTGGTTGAGGAAATTTGTCATGTTTAATGATCAATAAATAATAATGGTTAACGAATAATATCGTATTAATAATAAAAACTTGGATAGCTTGTATCAAGTACTTACACTATATGATTCTCTCGAGTCTTAACGATAGGTCATGCTGTGAATCACTATACTTCCGATCTATGTGTGACAAGCGAGATATGATTTTCATTATGAGCTCCGCACTTTTCTCTGATTTTAAATGGTACTATTGTTCAGGCTATAGAACATTAATAATGACATGAAACAAAATTGTTTGGTTTCAAATTATATGCTAATCTCTCTAATTGAGTAGGTATCTTAAATAAATAATATAATATATTTGTATGTATTTCGGCATAGTATTTAGTTTCATTAGCGTAAGATAAGGGTAATTCCTATGACTCACAATATACTTTCATAGGTTTAAAATCAGCTGGTAATAAGCGACTCTACAGGTTAAACATTTCCAGTAATAATACCAATCGGGCAGTCTGTACAATTATCGAAACAAATTTAAGACTGCATAATATTGATGACATTTTTTTTTCTGAATTTTTCGCTGGCAACACCGCACAAACACGAGCAGGACCATATGAAGGTTAGACGTTTTTTTTCTTCGCTCTTTCCCAAGTACTATATACAGAATTACAGAATAACGGTGTGTTGCGAGATGTTTAATTCCAAACTAATGATAAACATTCCCATTTGAAGGACGCGATTCTCGTCACGGAGCTGGGTCAGACCCGTCCTCAAATGTCTTAATATTCCTGCAAATTGTTCTCTCAGAAAGATAATCAAAGGGTTACCTCCTCGAAGTCCCTTTCGATTCACTACGCAATATGGAAAAACAAAAATAAGATTTAAAGAAAATTCGCCATCATAAAGCATTCAGTGCAGCTCGATTCATAGCTGCATATTGCATAAAATCTGTGTACTCACACGAAATCGCCAACATATTAAATTATTTTATAGTCAAACCGATGTTATTTTTTCCATCTACGACTCACATAGTCTGCCGTTTATTCACACACTCGGCACACATAATATTATACGGTACGCCAACACGTAGGTGTACAATATTAATAGTTATGATATTATTATTGTCTTGAATATATATATATATAAATATATGTATAGCTAAGTTTGAAACGAGATATTTTGTGTGCCACCGGAGTTGTTCTCCGTCGGAAACCGTATCGTTGTCGCACACCTATGGGCAGAACAATATAATAATAATAATATTATTATTATTATTATTATTATTATTATTATTATTATTATTGTATACACAATAAACCGGACCCCTGAAATCGCACACGTCGTATAACGACAACAATAATATCGGCATATATTGATACTCTAATTTAATACAGTGGACGAGTGGCGTGCGTATTTATTTCCAAACACCTCTTGTCCGGCCGAATATGCAGAAAATCCGTACGTTATTATATTATTATACGGTCGAAAAAGAAGCGCGCGTGCGCTGTTATTATTATTATTATTATTATTATTATTATTATTATTATTATTATAGCGAACCCGCCACTCCATCAACAGCCCTGACCGCCCACCCCCTCACGACCGTGTACAGTTTTCACGCGTATATTTATATTCCTTTATTTATATTATGTGCACGTATATTATATTATAACATTTAATAATATAATATATATATACACGAGGTGATGGTGTGGCTTTATTATTGTTATTATTGTTATTTCGAGTGTTTTCAATTTCCCCACGAACACCCCCCCGAGGACCTTTATTATGTTAACGCCGCCGACACGGTTAGTGTTTTGTGTGTGTGTGTGTGTGTGTGTGTGTGTGTGTGTGTGTGTGTGCGCTCGCGTTATTCAATAGAATTATTACGAAACTAGTAACAACCGCGTGACGTTTTTGTATTTAATATTATTATTATTATTATTATTATTATTATTATTGCTGTACCTATCTACACCGGCTATAATATAATATGGTAAACTCGTATAATATTATGCTGTTCCATCACACACACACTCGTCAACATAGGTGGTGTATGTTTGTATATACTATTATACATTTATACATAAACCATGTGTAATATGGCCGAGTAGTTATCGTACATCACCGTATCGGTAAGTGGTTATATTATATTGTATTCTGTTTAGGGTTTTTGAAAAACAATTTTTTTTTTTTCGACATGAAGACCGTGACGACAAGTGTCTCGACCAACTTTCATCAAAATGTCTGCATATACACTCATCCTCCTGAGGCCCTATACTATAACTTGATAATACTGTAGTACTACGAGTTCAATGTCCATTTCAATTGATGAGTATCCTAAATGTATCTGCAGCATCTGTAGTGTTATTTTTTCGACCCAATGGGCATTATATTGGACGGGTATTTATTTTTTAACATTGATTTCCTAATATCATGTTATAATTTACACGATTGCAATGGACACTCTTTAGAACGAAAAAGTATCAGATAAAAATTATGAAACACAATATGTTTTTTCCTCTTAATGCTCACGTATCTAAGTTTATATATTAAATTGGCAGACCTTAGTGGGGATAAGAAAAACATGTCCATTGTAGAGATTTATAAGTTACAGTTACTGCCTAGTCCAGTTCCGTTTAAAGTTACAAGCTAATTAATTATTTTTGATTAATTGTTCGAGAAAATAATGACACTTCTAAACATTCGCTTGCACCCGGGGTTAATGAGACAAATGAACTATGTAAATTATAACTAAAATTTAAAATTAGTTAAAATTGTAGTTCATTAAAAGATTGGTTACAAAATGTAATAAGTAATGTAATAATAACTACTATGTATGGTTAGTGCATATTATATTAATAAAATATACTGACACCGAATGGAAAACTATTCCAATTATGTCGACACGAAATAGGGATAGCATACCTACTTACGCGTGAGCAGTAACTTATACACCAATATTACAAATTCTTTATATTATAATTGTGATTGAATTTGGCAACGTTAGAAAAAAATAGAAAAATAAAGAGCGTGTTCAATCGTAATACTAAAAATGTTGATCTGATAAGACCGCTCTCGGTCGTATTTTATCGGAAAAGTGCAGGAAATAACTCTTGTAACCAAATTACAAAAAAACAAAGAAACACAAATCGTGCAACCCGAGAAAAATTACCGAACACAATATTTATTCCGAACGTGGGGAAAAACTATTACTGGTTAAAGTCAACAACGAAAGTCACTTTATCATGTTGTAATATTACCGTGGATAAAATGATTATTATACGTCATATCCCAAACAAGAAAAGAGTGATGAAAAAAAGAAATTTCTTCGGATAAGTGTTACAAACCGCATTCCGAAAACCAAATACCTGGATTGTTATAGATAACGAACAATCAAAATAATATTTATTTCTATACCTATACAGGCCGATGATAATAACGATAACACACAATATCAATGTACTTCATTATATTTTAATCACTTGCTATAAACTTTTATTTTTAATATTTAAACCCTGTGTCGTTTTTATTGCTATACATCGGAGTATAGTTATTAATTTATAATGACGAATAAATAACAATAAAAGTAATAATTTACGAATTCATTTTAATCACACGGCATTTTAGATAGGCAATTAATGGTACATCATTAGCCTGTCCGTTTTTCGCCAAAACAATTTTAAATAAGGAACTGGTCCCGGAACAAATATTTTAGACAAAGTTTTTTTTTTTGGTGAACATCTCAAGTTTTAACAATTACCTATTAATTTTTAAATTAGGTGTACATAAATACAAAATCAATTTTCAAAAACTGATTTTGCTTAAAAATTACCGTTTTTTCAAATCGTTTTCATTTTTCATGTGACACTTTTTACGAAATTTTTGCTTTAGACCCTCCAGACTTCCAACTAGATATAAATTGTTATCAGAACCCATCCTTCATAAAGGGAAGTTTAAGCATTTTTACTATTAAAAGTGATGCAGACACACACAAATAAAAGCAATTACACATCATTACATTCAGCTCTCCACTTTCAATCTATATCATAGTTTCATTAATGATGAAAAATAAAAATAAATATAGGAAATCGATAAACTGTCTGAATTGTTTGAAATGTTCACACTTCAAAATAAATAATTCCATTAATGTGAAACATAAAACTTTGTCTGTAATAAACTTAATATGTCGGAATTTATTGTTATGTGATCATCATCATTTGATCATTTAAAAAATCAGCGTTGACTTTTATATCTTCCCTTAGTAAGTTATACAATTATCATAACCATGGCCCGTGAGAGTTAAGAAATAATGTTAGAAATAAAATACACAAAAGATATTCATTTCCTTTTAGTCATTTTGATTTTGTACGGTTTTGGTGTTAATAGTATACCACAATTTACTCCATCGGGTAATTGATCTATTTCGATTGTAAAATCGTGGATTAAGTTGGCAAATACTAAGTTAACAAACCGCTGTGCCAATGCTTCGCCAGGACATCGTCTCTTTCCTGCAAATAAATAAACAATGATGTTATTACTAAACATTACAGCATAATATAAATAAATTAAGCCGTTTACCAAATCCAAAAAAGTACATGTCTTCAGTAGTGTTGAGTGTTCCGTTAGTGTCCATAAACCTCTCTGGGCGAAAAACTTCTGGATCACCCCATTTCAACTGATCATGATGCACTGAATACAAACTCATCAAAAGGGTTGTATTCTAAGAAAAATATTAAAACTTAATAATATTGTTTACAATTACTAAAACTGTTATTTACAAAGCTTAAAAATCAAAGTACCAAAACAAATTTAATATTGCATGAAAAAAAGTTATCCCGCGTGCAACTAAATTTTAGTAGAAGAGAGACTACCGTTGAAAATAATGTGTTACTCGTGACTCAGCCACTCAGGTAATTCTTAAACGATTATGATTATAAAATATAGCATTGAAGTAATTATACCTTAGGTATACTATATCCATTAAGATGTGTACTTCTTAACACACGTCTAGGACCTATGATTGGTGCTACGTGATTAAGCCTCTTCGTTTCTAAAAGCACTGCTTCCACGTATCGATTTCTGTATAAAAAAATACATTTCATATTAAAACAATTATACTTAATCTTTAATAATGTAAAATTGTCTATTTGATTTATTTTACTTAAGAATTTGTTCTGCTGTAATATACGTCCCCGGAGGTTGGATTTCATCCAGAGTAGATTGAAGTTTAGCCTGGACATCTGGCCACCGAGCCATGGCCAATATAGCGAAATCCAATGTACTACTTGTCGTATCTGATCCAGCAATAAATAAGTCTAAACAAACAGCTACCAATTGCTCTTCTGAAATAAATATGTACGTTTTAAAATGTATTAGAATGAACATACATGATAATATAAAATGTGCCATTAATACTAATATATTATTGTTGCATAGTTTGTTATTCTGATCATGTGTAAAATTAATTTTTGTATATATGAAATCATTATTATTTTATTATAATATAGATATTTTCTTAAATGCCGTTGATACTAAAATGCAAATTATAGTTTAAGATACTATATTATTTAAATGTATTAAAGTAGTTATACTAATAATATTTTTAAACTTATAGATTGTAAATGTACGCTTTAACTAAAAACTAAATATAAAATGAAAATAAGCTACTAACCAGTAAACGTTGTATTATTATCTGCTTCTTCTTTTTTCATTTGATGTAAATATGCGTCAATAAAATCTCTGGTAGTGTCAGTTATCGTTCTCTTGTGTTCCGCAATATTATTCTGTATGAAATACATTCAATATATTATACAATTTTTTGCATGTTATATTATTTATTATTCTACAGGTTAATATTTATAACACAATAAATCATCAATAAATATCAAATTTCGTTAAAATGTTTTTGTGAATTTAATTCTGAAGAGGGAAGAGAGTGTTCAACTTTGAGAAATCTCAAACAGAATATTAGAGAGGTGCTATTGTTAAATATCTCATTTAAAATCAATTACAATCGTTATAACATACCTATCTCAATTTATCAATACAGGAGAAAATTGAGTGAAATTCCGTAATTCTTTTAAATTAGAACTCTTAAATGACGTATGAAAAACGCATGAATAGTCAAAACAAAATAATATAAAATCATATAATATATTAATTATTAGATTTAATCGTATAAAAAGTTATAAGATGCATAGACCCAAATAAGCCGGCTAAGGGACTTAACAACCCACCCTAGAACTGCAATAGCCACCCGCCCTAAAAAAAAGCTAATGACTTCATCACATTGGAATATCCTGTATAGGCTTTTGAGCTTCAGCCCCCTTCCCAAATGTCAAAAGCGAACACACTATTAACGCCTATGATAAGATGCAAGAATTTAATCATTTCAACAAGATCTTACGGATATCAAGGAGTAAAGTTGCTGATTGATATCAGTTATGAGTGAGAAACCCGTCCTGGTTGGTGCCAAATACCGTAGCCATGGTATCTGGTTGAGCAGCCCGCCGGCCATGTCAAATGCTGCACTCCGTTTCCTCATCAATGCTAACAGCTTAGGGTCTTCAAACTTAGAGCCAGCTGTCAGCTCCCACAAAACATTCATTACAGCTGATTGCAAGTATGAGGCCGGCGTAACACTTTTCGGCGCATCGATTAGACGTTGCACCATGATTTGATATTCATCATAAATCAATTCGTCCACTCTTCTCTGTCCTAAGCCAAGTAACCTCAAGTGTCTGACCGCAAACGATCTGTGTACTTTCCAAAGATCTCCGTCAGTCATTGTTATACCTGTTTTTAATGCATACCATGTCTATAATATTACATATTAGGATTCAAAGATACTGCTATGAAAATTGTTATGTATTTTTTTTTTAGTAAAATTCAAAAAGATCATGAACCTACAGCTAAGAAAGGATTTCAAAACAATAAAACATAAAGAGTTAAAATTCATTCCATACATTTAACCAGCTATTTTTAAGTTCATATTTTACCATCAATATAATGATATCTTAAAATTTAAAAAAATTCTTCATTTGTAAATAATTATTTGTATAAGTAGGTACATCTATAACTTATAAGTATAAAATATTATTGCTAAATTCTGCTGAAATATATACAATTGCACAACTACTCTACTTTTTTGACACGAAACTATTGATAATATTATATTCTTCAATGAACAAAAATTCCGACAGAATCAAAGGATCTTTGCCAACGTCTCGTTCTATATAATATTTTAAATTACACCGCGTTTAATATTTTATAATTCATATCCATACTATAAAATAACGAAATATGGTCAATGAGAATAAGATCTCATTCAGGATAATTCATGAAAAAATAATTTTGAAAAATGCATTGAGTATCGACGTATCGAAATAAAATAGTGTCAAAATCAAAATTGTGGGCATCACTTATCAGTTACCAATAGTACCTGCCATTATTATTTTTAACGATATTTTTTTAATATTTTATTTAAGAAGTGTTTTGTTATGCAGGATTGTATTTATAAATTTTTTCAGTGAAGTATAAAAATATTATGTATAAGTACAACGCGTTTTATGTTATACTTACGACTTACCTCTACGTTTGCCCATTGTCCGGAGTCTCATAAAAAAATTATCAGGTCGACCCTGAAATTCGTCTCTGTGAAACGTTTCACTCAATAGATCGTTTCCGAACACAATAACTACATATTCACGTCCTAATTTCAATCCAATGATGTCAGAGTTGTATCTTTGACGGAGCTCCTCTAATGCCAAATATTGACCTTTTTTTGTAGCAGCCAATTTAGATAATTGGTACGTATTTCCCACAAACGGTATCCATTTTGGCCCTAAATACATTGAAAAAAAAAACTAAGTTCCATATGCATCATTGAATCTATACATTTATATTATATACATATATTTTGTACTAAATAAACCTAATCAAATGTTATAGTATGAAATAAATACTAAAAATAAAAAAACCTTATAGCATAAATAATATACTGACAATTAATTTCACAATTTTTCAAATCCTGTTGAAAAATGTCGATCAATTTCGATTGGTTTTCAAAATACAGTAATAATAATATTAATATTATATTGTATCCTGCAGTATTATATAAAACTAAATGTCTATTTTCAGTATTTAAAATTTAAGGACAAGTGAATTTATTATTATTGATGTAAAGAAATTTATAATTTATGACTATCATAAAAAAAATAATTGAAATAAAATCTTTTCTCATTGAAATTCGTTGAACTATAGTATTACCTAGTGTGAATAAGTAGGGAAATTTGAAACTTTGAAACGTTTAGAGCACCAGGGAACTTAATCGCACAGGTGCCTAAATAATTTATCTAAAAAAATTCACTCAGAATTGAATGTTGCAAAGTAACGAGTAGGTACTAATATTCCAATATTAAATGGTTTAAAAAAAATATTGAAAATATATCTTCTTTGAGTGTATAGACACTCAAAAGATAATGGATGATTTCAATTTTTTTTACTTTGTACGCCCATGTTTATAATAATAATATTACGCGCATTTGAATAACCCATACTTAACGATGAATTAAATATAATTATCTCTCTATATACATAAATAGGTTTTTTTATGTACACTATAAATTATGATATTTAACAAACAAACTGGTTTCATCAAAACTATCCAGATGTTGGGTCCCAGGTTGAATAATGAATTATCATTTTTGTCATAAGAACATAAAAAAATTAAATTTTGTATTTTCGTTCACACATAGTTATCACAACTAACCTTCGAATTTCAAATTGACCATTTTCGGACTGGTGATCCGTTCACATGTTTAGATATTATTTCTACACTCTAACTGGTAACTACATTTCGACTACTGAATGGGTATAAAAATAAAAACAATATTGTAAAAAATAAAACTTATTCCAATAAACATAAATGAATCCTAAATACACCTGTTTGAAATAATATTTCAAAATAAAAAATTTAAGTGTTTACAAACTATAGGCAACTAATTTTTAATACCAATCATATTTGAATTATTGTATAACAATCATAAAATATATTAGTAATAATTGTGTTATTATTTCTTATTCAATTCTTTAGGATTTAAAAAATCATACAAATATTATATATTATGTAATAAAAACTGGCAGATAACTATATTGAAACTTTCATAATTAGATACATATTATAATTCATGAGTCACATAAACGTATGAAAAATTGTACGGTATTATAGTTTATTATTTTTCCACAACAATGAATAACGACGATAAGACTACAGAATTTCGTGTTCTAATTTAATCATACTTAAAAACTAACCCACTCTTATAATATTATAATTAGTAAAAATATACTATGGATATCATCATGCATATTCTAATTATTATACAACCATTAATCAGAAAATATAGGACTTCAAAACTCTATAAATGTATGTAATAGTTTATTTATAGTAATAATAATCATTTTTGACGGAAAATAAATTCCCACTTACACACTAAAATAAAGCATAATATAAGTTATAAAAAATAAACAGAGAAGGGGATCCATCCCATCGACATATATTTATTTGAATATTAGATAGGTAAAATAAAGATTTATTTTTAACATAATTAGGTAAATTTATTCTAAAGTTAAGACGTTCGTTTAGTTCAGGACAATCCGAGACATTATTTAATAATTTATGAAAAATGTCAACGTTAATAACTTATATTTCTTTCTAAAGGCATAAAAGAAAAAAAAACCCACGAGCAACATCATAACCAGACAGAGGTGTTCTTTGTACACTAATAGTATAAAAATCGTAAAAAAATGCTCTCAATTTTTGAGAGACGTACAGTGACTGATTTAAAGAGCTATTTTACCATACAAAATGTAGGTACATGGTATATATTTAGTAATACTATGACATAGTATACATTGTATGTTTAGTAGTTAGATAACTTAAATGTAATTTCACAACATTTTTTTTCTTATATTATAATAATGGTTACAACTTTACAAGTAACTTGATTATATATTTAATATTGTAAAATACTAAAACATGTATATAACATGAAACAATATAAAATACAGAGTGATTATCATGCGAGTCACACGACACGAGTCACATACCATGATCCCATGCCATATGTTTATAAAATATATTAATATTTAACAGTATTCAACATGTAAAAAATGAATGAGTGGATATATAATACTTAAAAAAAAATGTATAATTGTTATTAATTAATATTAGTTGTTATTAGTTGTCATGCAATACATAACCGTTTGATTGATTTCACAACGCTGTGCAATATAATACATACGTTGAACAGCAAACAGAACCTATTTTTACTACCTGTCCATATTCCATAAAATGTGTTATTGTATACAAAATGCCTATAGCCAATGATGAATTAATTATTTTAATATTACCGCAGCTCATTTGGACAATATGAGTTACCCACCTGACCTAATATCATCTACTGACTGTAAATACTAGTCGGTTTTAAAGCAAGGCACGGCTGAAACAAAAATAATTCTGAAAACGTTGACTTTACCTGGTGGATAGTTTTTTGGTTTCCTACACGTACGGAGAGCGATCAATAGCAGAATTACAGTAACGGAACACACAAAATACCAAGACATTAATAACAGAGACATAATATTATAATCTTGTAAACTAATGCCGGGACAGGTTAACGATGAGAATAACGATAGGACAAACGTTGCACGTGGTAGCCGGCGAACAACTGGCCTTTTTTTATTCACTCCTGTAATAGTATTTATTGAAATACGGCGATGACAAAAAATGGTGATAATAATAATAATAATAATAATAATAATAATAAATTGCCTCTTCAGAATGAGATACATATTATATAAATGTGTGTGTGTGTGTGTGTGTGTGTGTGTGTGTATAATACTAAAATATATATGTACAACGATCGTTTAAGCAGTAAATTGGTGGGGACATTTCCGTTGTCCACAATCCGATAAACTATTTATTATAACTAATTATAAACACTATCAGCTTTGGCCGTTTGCCTAGTCGTATACAGGGTGGTTCACACTGCACAGTATAATATGTAAGTAATAACTATACAGTTGTATGGGTGCAACATATCAATATCTGATATAGTATAGTAAGTAATACTAATAAAGTAAGTGTATGTATCGCGTGTTGAGAATGAGAAACTTAATAGATACAATATAGACGACTAGTTCGATGCAGCTTAGCAAATCCTCATCCCCAATTTGTACTTTTATTATAGACTTCTCCAAACTCTCGATTTTAGAACTTTTAAGCATACATAATGACCTAATTTTCGAATACTTCGACTTTTATACCATTTTAGTAGTAGGCGATATTGCGACAAGAAATTCTTTTTTCATCGAGAAACACCCATTTTTCTATTATCCTTCAGTATATATACATTTAAATAACTCAGAAGCAACTCGTCTAAATTTTGATTTAGATCATCAACGATTTCAATTATATCGTCTGTGTAGTAATTTACAGTAAAAAAGTTGGTTCTCATTTGATAAAAAATAAGTTGATATCTCCAAGGTGCACAACACACCGGACGCACCAAATATAACACCCTGTATATAGCGATATGTATATATATATATATATATATATAAATATCTAAATATTTAGTGTCTCCTTCTCAACACTATACATAATACACCTAACACCTATATACTTTCAAGTCTATTACTTTCAGTACTGTGCAGTGCACAACACTGCACACACACTTTGCAATCTTCCTGTATACATTATCAGATTTAATAATTTATTTTTATTTCAGATTTTATGATTGAATACGTACCACACGGAAAAATTACATATAATATATGGAAAAATTACATTTATTTGTTCTCATTAAATCAAATGTCTAATTGATGAAACGTGAAGTTTTGAAAGTTCCCGGTTGACCAGGGTACTCAACTGCATTTTATTCGCTTTGCGTTGGATATTTTTCCACTTAACATAATCTTCGTCACCAAGTATTGAAGAATTATCAATATACTTTCAGTAAAATATATTACAATATGAAATATAAATGATATATTATAATTCATTTTTATTATACAAGTACCTAGCTCAAAAGTGTAAACATACCAATTCAGATAGTAAAAACACCGAATTAATTAATTTAATTAATTAATTAATTTTAATTAAAACCTCGGTAAACAAAATTGTAACAGACAAATACTCTATCTCTAGATATGTCTATCTAAATTCGTCGCTACTTAAGGGAACGCGTATTATACTAAATATTTAATAATATTATATACCCAGGTACTAGTTACTCAGTGGCGTATATAGGGGGGAGGCCCCCTAGGCCAGAGCCCATAGTGAAATTGCAGGTTCAATTAAAGCATTGCATGTATATTTACACTGTTAACAGTTTTTCACCATGATTAAGTTAGCCGGTTGATTAAAATCATTTTTGAGTAATCTACAAGGAAATGTTAGATATATTGACGGGACTTGCTTTAATGACTTATTGACTTTGATGTTAAATTCATAGTAAGATAACATTAAAATATACAAACGACACTGTCAATATTTTTAAAAAAAGAAACAAAAAATTAATTTTACATAATAATTATAAAATTGAATTGCGCAATTTTTATTTGAACTGTATAATACGTCATAATTCTTAATTATATAACAGCTGCTCCCTTAAAAATGTATAATTATGGCTATGCTGTTTGACTAGTGATAATTGATAAATCGGCCCATAGTGAAAATAATTCGTATATACGCCACTGTAGTTACTATAGTACCATCTACACACTCATTAGTGTTAGCTGTTACAACTAGATATGTGGTATATGAATACAATGATTATAAGACTTCATATTATAATATGTCTAAGCATATAAATGTATTAATGGAAGTTACATTTTTAGATTATATTTATATACTACATATTATATACAGGCAGTGACAATATTATAGCCGGACTTATGTTTCTAAATATGATAATACGTAAAAACTTTAAATTTAAATTATCAGATCACCTAATATGTTGGATTATTATATAAATGTTTATTTTTATGTTTATTAGAAGGATTAATTTCAAAAAATTGATTTTTTCACAGATAAAGTACTAAAATCAATAAATCAATCAATCATGATTTATCATGTTTAATAATATAGGTACTAGGTATACATTTCGCTTAAAAGTGAAATACTTGAATCTGACAAAATATTTTAAAATAAACGATTACAATAAATTAAAATACAAATAATATCATTTTTAATTACTAAATATAGTTTTTAGAGCAATTAAGGTTAAAATTAAGTAGTTATCTGAGTAATTATAAATTTGTTGTAATAGTAAATATATAAACCAATTGCACAGAGTTGTCTGTTCTTCTTTTCGTTTTTGAGTCAAAAATGCATATAAAACAGCATAAATTAATACAATTCAACTGTAATTCATGTTATCTGCGATCCATTCGACAAATGATGCCACCCTAGTATATACACCTGGATAACCAGGTTCGGCACACTTAAATCCAAAAGACACGACACCCACTAAATAATATTGAGTACCACTGGGCCACATCAATGGACCTCCAGAATCTCCCTGAAATAACAATCAAACAATTATAGATATTTTAGCACTATAAACAAATTATTAAGTTTTTCAATAAGCACCTGGCAAGCGTCTTTTCCGCCTGTTAATAATCCAGCACACAACACTCTATCATCGATAACGGATTTCTTGTTGGCAAATGCTCGTTTACATTCGGAATTTTCTATCACAGGTACTTGAACTTCCATTAGAGTAGTTGAACTCGGTCCCCCTAAGTAATAAATATAATATTATTAAAACCGAATTTACAAAATATACATCAATATTTTAATATGCTGCAATACCTGTAAATGAAGGTACCCTACTCTATATTTATTATTTATATACTATTTGTTTACTTACGAAATGATGTGGAACCCCATCCGGCAACAAACGGTACAGATTTAACTAACTTGTTTGCTCTATGATGTGATAAGATGGGCAAACAGATAGGTTGAATAAATTCTAAAAAAAAAATGTATAGGGTACAATAAATACTAATTATGTTCATTATAGGTAATATACTATTGATTTTATGTATTTGAAATGTTTAATAATAATAATATTAACATAACGTTTCTTATTTCTATAATAATTATATAATTAACAATACCAACAATAATTATACCAATAGAAGTTACCTACGAAAATCGTTTATCGAAAATTAGTAGACGTTCTGAAAATTCTACATAGGTCATTAAAGTTGGATTTCAAAAATGTGAGGATAAGCTTCCTGCAGTTTTTAAAACTATCTTATTACCCTCATAAGTAATAAGTGTTAATCAGAAAGAAATTAGAGATTGCAAAACGAATCATCTGGCTTAACTCACAATTAAAATTAATATTTACAAAATAATTTTTTAACCGCTAGATAATTAACTAGAAAACTCATGTACCTACCTATATAATAGAATATAAGACATAGCCACATAGGTATAAGGCACGCAGGAAATAAATATACGTATTTTATTTTCAAATATTTTAAATTACCTACGTATATTAAATTTCAAGATGTAAAGAAAGGCGGCATTTGTGTCGCTACAACGAATACCCCCGAGATCACGTTCTTGATACCCCCGGAGACTTAGATAGTGTTAAGAAATATATTATATTAAAAATACTTACGATTGAATCTAACACTGTTTTCTAATTTTAATAATGCAATATCAGTAGTGTATTCTTGTGCGTTATATCGTTCATGTGTCATGACACGTGAAATTGCAACATCTATTGGTCCAGCTCCATCATTCACTTTAGGATCTAAGTTCAAATCACCTAAATGCGCAACAGCCCTGAAAAACTAAATAATTTGAAGCTACGAGGTTTGATATTAATGACTATCAAAAAATGATTTTTTTATAAATTGATGGATCATTTTGTTTAAAAATAATGTTTAATATTAGTTTACATTAATTCGTTTGATAATAGCATAATATAAGATCAATGATACAAGTAACTCAAGGTAAGTGGTTTAATAATTATAGAACCAACCTACTGCCTATTATCTATTTATATTGAACAAATTTATTTTTTATAACCATGTTTTGTAACTAAGTGTTTTCCTTTTGACTACTCATTAGTTGTTCAAAATTGGATTCATAAATAAGTACTTACATATAGTAGTAGCATATACATCAATAGTACCTAGTACGTATGTAGTAAGTAACCTCTTCGCGCAATTGATTTAATAACATTTCCACATACTTATTATAATTTATAATATTCTTGTCTCAAAAACATTAAGGATATAAGATACTACTCATTGTGCCAAATATTTTAAACAAAAAGAAACAATTTTCAACTAATTTAAAGACTGAACGAACACATTATTATATACACTTACAATTTTCGATTTCCAATACCGACGGTGCAGTGGGCAGCTGTTAATACGTATCTATCCGATATCAAGGCACCACCACACAGCCACTGGTATTCGGAACTTGGCCTACTGAGATCTTGATATCCAAGTGCTGCCATCCAGGGCCAAGCACCTAAATACATTGAAAGGTCAATATTTGTTCTCATAACTCAATAAATCTAATACACTTTGCAAGGTATACAATTTGTTAAATTTAAAAAAAATAAACACAAACAAACTACACTTGAATTTGTTTTCAAACGTATACCTAATTCAGCAGGATTTCCTCCGACAATTCGAACGTGGCTAGAATTGGTCCGTCCACAAGTTTTTTGAGATGGCAATTTGATCGACGTAACTGTTTCATAAACTGCTGAGCCTGTCGAATCAGGTTTTTGAGTAGTTATCCTTTGAGAAGTTTCAGTGTAGGTGTTGGGTTCATTCTCCAATGGACAGCATACCTTGGGGTCTTTACCCTCATACCCACACATGGAGTTTCTGAGAAAAGTGGCAATAGAAGCATTTTGTCTCTGAGTTTCTAATAGAGAACGTAGCTTTGGGCATCTTTTTATGTTAATGCAATTTCCGTTAAGATCATTTGGTGTGAAACATTCTAAAAATTTTAACAATTAGGTAAATTATTCATAATGTGTTTTTATAATAATAAATAAGCAATAGTAAAATTACCAAATGTGCATTGTTTTTTATTATTATTACTTATTATAGCTAACTGCAGACTTGACAATATAGTAAAATTGTAACTGCTCAGAAACATAACTAATTATTTTTTCATCACTTTAAAGAACTTAAATTAATATTTGTTAAACTAAATAAGACAAAACATATAATTGAATGATATGAGTTAGATATTATTGTTGTAAATCGTAATAGTATTATTGCTGTTCGTTTGGTGAACTTTTGCCATGTTGCCATGTTGGTCTGCAATTCGCAATTATTTAAAAGAATAAATAAACTTGAACTATACTACTTCAACCAATACCCAAAACACAATTATATGAGGTCTTGTATCGTAAGTTTAATAATAATTATTAGATCCATATTTAACGAAACTTCTTAGTATTGTTATTATTTTAAACACATTTTTTTGATAAAACTGAGTTTCTTTATTGATTTAACTGATTTAATATCTATTACCAGCTATATTCCTGAATTCGTTTTATATTGTATTACATTTTATATTGTATTGACTGTATCTAGTACCTACTGCAGTGTAGTAAGTTTCAAGTGTAACTTTGTCATGTTGTCTACCATCTTACTAATAGTAAAATAAATCACTATAACAGCAATGTAAATATAGTATAAAATATAATTAGTAATATAGGCCGAGAGAGGAGAGACTGTCTTCGCTCAGAATATCGTTTTTCGTTAGCAACGACTTATCACTGAATTCACGGTTAACACATACATTATAGTGACTTACTCAATAACGAGATACACTTGACACCTATATGTACAGTACAGTAGAGCAGTTACCTACTTTCACCCTTTTTTATGAATGACTCTAACTTAAAAGTGAGTACGGTGATATATGGTCGTATATCTACGGTGCTAACCAAAAGATCAGAGGCTACTCTAAGGCGACTATTGAGAATACCAACACAAAGTCTCATTTTATCCCGTAATTTTGTTTTTCAAGGCACTTAATCATAAACATTTTTATAAATCAAATGTATAGTAGTATAGTGATATAAAATGTATTCATCGCCATCTGTTGGACGTGGTTCATTCTATTCTCTAAAATTGTCTGGTATCTCTAAGAAAAATCTATGAAATGTTTGTAAAAATCAATCAGACAGTTTTTGAATAATTCAACTACAACCGGACACTCTTATACCATTTACAATATTTACATAGTATATAGATTAATAAACAAAATAAAAACTCACCATTATTGTTTTGTGAGGATTGAGCCTCCACACTCCTGTCTCCGCCAATCCTCAAACTGAACACTAATACTACACAAATAATAAATTTACTTCTGTCCATGTTCAGTTAAGAAAGTCAAACCGTGTACCTATAGACACAAAAATATAAAACAGAAGTGTGGGTATAATGAAATATTTAAATTACCCACGCCGTGCTAAACTCAATAATCAAAGATGTATTTTACATTTTTACCTTCGGTGTTTACTTCTTGATTATGTAGCAGCTCAGACTATAATTACGTGATAAATGTGTTCATGGGCACTGATTACTTCTGATCGAAGGCAATCTATACTTACAATATTAAGTCAACGTGGCCTAGACGTCGTCAGCAGAGTAAGCCCTATAATGATTTTTATTAATTTAGATTTTAGACTCATTTATACCTAAACAACAATACGTTTAACATTATAAATAAATAGCTACATAGTACATGCCTAAGAGTAGCTGGGGTCATAACAACATTAAAATAGGTTAAACTGATTAGGTACCATTGATTATAAGGTATAAGGTATACATATCGTCAAAAAAATACATAAAACCAATAATTGATGGCTTATAGTCTTATACTATGTAAGTACCTATATTGTATTTACATTAATTTTTTATTTTTAATAATAATAATTTTATTATTTCAGTTTTCCAATTTTGTTCACCTAACCTAACCCTCTATAATTGGTGATAATTTTTAAACAACAATAATAAAATTATTTTAGGATGTAGGTATTTATTTATTTATCAGATAATAATATTTCAGGCATATAAAATATATTTATCAACAAGTGCATTTTATTATATAGAAACATAATGTAATATAGCAACACAATTCAATTTCAATCCATAACTTTCGTTCACTTAATAAAAATTATTTAATTATTTAATTACCATAAAAACGGATCAGTGATTTGACGAATTTGGAAATTGAAATTGACCTACCAAATATAACATAATTCGGTAAGAAATTAACTGTTTTTATTTTTTCTATTAACTAGATTAATTTCTAGATACCTTGCAGGTATCAAACGTACCTATAGTAAAAACTTAGTAATGAATTAGAAAAAATAATAACATATGAATTAACATATTGGTATATGGTTAACTGCAATGTTTGTGCCCGTTGTCAATAACTTTTTCTTCGTTTTATTGTATACAAACGTAATCATTTCAATGTATTACCAATACCGTATCTTTTGATTTCACGTATGATATTGTAATCAACAAATTTGTCAAATATTTTATTGTTCATGCCAGTTAAACATTTGAGGAAAGGATATAAATAACCAATAATAAATTTAATTACCAGATAGTTATTATTTATTCATAAAAGTGATCACCTATTAGTTATCAAGATTATATAACATAAAAATAATATAATTTTGTTGAAAATGAATTAAAATAAATCAATTGCATTATTAGTTTAAGCAGGTAGATAGGTACACACACAAAACACAAAGTATTCATAAATAATAATATGGAAACTCAAATGCAGACATAATTTTCTAGTCCAATTTTTTAGAAAACAAATATTAAAATATCGTTAACTTAACATATGATGGGACAACATTTATCCATATATTGTATTTTATATAATATTAAAATGGTGTTAAAATTGTTTCTGAGACAAATATAATAAATTACAACTAGTATGGGTATACTACAAGATACTGATTACTGTGTGATAAAGACATATATATAAGAAAATAAAAACGTTGATTGGTAGATACTTACTAATTATAAAAAATTATGAAATGGAGGAGATAATAATATATTTGTCACTTTTGTAATTATCCTGTTGAAATTAAAAGTGACCTGCTATACTACAATGGTACCCTGAATAAATTTAATTACGCCTGTATTACATCCCGCAAATTACCTATTGAAATAATAATAATCAATATAAGTTATATATAATTTATCTAATATTTATTAGCAAAACCGTAAACTTATAGGCCATACTGAAGGTCTAGGTCACGATTTCAAGGTAAAAATAATTTGATAAGCAACAAGGAAATTAAAGTTAAAAATATTTGTTTTTCTTTTATACAATGCATTATCTGTTGTATATATATTTGAATAGTACAGAAAAAAATATGTATAACAGTAAAAGGCTCGTTCTAGCAGTTTATATGACAACATTTTAAACGCCTATGTGATTTCTTAAATTTTGATTATTTTTGTACCATAAAATAAGTAGATAATTTTAAATTTTAAAATAATTCACTCATGAGGTGAAAGTGTTTTTTTAAATAAGTACTACAATATTATCAATTGATTTATTTAATATACAACGTACATAATATAGTTGTAGAGTTATTACCTGTCAATTTTTTGGTGACTTCTATTATTCTGACGTATAGTGCTTATTATAGAAATAAACTGCCACCAACCACAATAAACAGCGCTGACTTAAATTAGTTGTACCTTGTACGACAGGTAAGAACTATGAACAAGTGGTCAGTAATACGCCAAAAGAGATACTAATAAAATAAAATAATTTAATAAATTATTAATATGCATTATGCTCATCAGTAGTTGCAAATCCCTCCTCCAATCCGCTTTGTTCAAACCGGTCGACTAATATGATTTTAGTTACACGTCTATAATAACACTATAGCTTGAAAACAGGTTTCCGATTATGTATGGAGAAAAATTTGTTGAAAACAGATAATAATAATAATAATAATAATAATAATAATAATAACACGAATATGATTATAATATAATATTCTAAATAGTGATTTAAACATATAGCTTAGCATTTTAACAAGAAACATAATATTAAGAATAATATTTATGTGGTAACACCGCTACGTCATGAAAACAATTTTGTTTTCAATAAAAGATAAGTCAGTTGCCGGTTGGTATGTACACAATTTGAGGCCTAAGTAAGGGGAAGAGTTAAAACAAAAGAATATTTAATTTTTGGTCGATATATTAAGATCGCCGTAGAAAAATATCTTCAAATAGTATTAAAATTGGTTTTTATTTAGAACGTTTATTTCATATTGAAATGATTTTTGTGTTATATAATTTAAAAGAATTAATACATTTTAAAAGCTAAACATAAAATGACTGTAGGTACGTCATACAATACATATTCCTAATATTGTTTGATAAAAAATAATGATATTTTAATTAACTTTTGGGAAATAATATTATATTATGCTGACATCGCAAAAAAAAATTTTTTTATGCACTAGGTAAAACATTTGATAGATAATCGTTAATCAGTAAAAATTATTTTTTTAATATGATTATTATATTGATTATATGATTTTACTAAAGAAGTATCTAATATCTTTATGGTTGGTACCTATAATATGTGTGAATAACCTATGCTTTAATTTGCAATTGTTGAACTGTAATAGTTTATAGTGTTTATACTGAAAATTCCAATAATAAAAAAAAACCTATGCTTTATTTGAACTATTCTTTACCTACGTTTTTATTTATTCCGCTTATTTTAAAATGATAACACCATTAAAGAGTAAAATGTGAACAATGTACCAAAATGTATATTGTATTGAACTTGGAATCCTGTCGAACGCATGCATAACATTTTATTTGAAACTACAAATCTTTTATCATTATATGACATTATTTTATACACCGCACGAATAAGTTGTAACCGCATATTCTAACCATTTTATAGTACAGTGTTTACTTGAATTTTATAACAATCTTTAAAACACTTTACAGAAATAAAACTTTTGGTTTTTTTATTACATTCTAACTCCTAAGTATTAGCATAATTATTGTTTGTTGTCCGTGGTGATCTGTTTTACTTCCACCGGAACACGTCATGGCACATCGCTTTAAATAAGTGCATACCTACCTGTACTTATTATATTGCACATCATAAGCTTATAACATAGGGTTTCCATATTATATTTTACATAAACCGTGAGAAACATTTTTCGTGCAATTATTATGGGAAAAATCTTACCACTCCCCCATCCATGGTCAGTCGCTAGTTTTAACATACTATTTTTTCGATACAAATATATACAATCACACAATGCTAAGCACTCAATGACATATACCTTTATAAGATAAAAAAACCTACTCAATGACTGGTGTTATATAATATAATTGAATAAAATATCAATTTAGTGATAAGTGATAAGTAAATAGTAAAAATGTTCGTGAGAGAGCAGGAAAACAATGAACGTACGTATTCGTCGTTTATTGTCGACACAAAGCCGGACAATAATTGTTTGTATTTTAACCATTTTAACTTTGATTACTATTTACTACACAATATTATATTAAACTAATGTTTATTTAATTAAACTTATATTTTTATTAGAGTTTATAAGGTAATGTTTAGCTGGAAAATTTATTACAGCAAACGTAAATAACCAATAACCAAAATCTTCTAATTAATGTAAAATTATATTATGAATTGTATTAACACTCGTAAAAACAAGAAGATAACAAGTACGCGGTATACGACTAAAGAATGTCCGCATTTCGAGTCACACTTCTGCGTCGCGACACAGCGGTTGAGAATCCTCCAAACTAGAATATTAGATTATACCTATTGCAGACTGTATGAATTTAATTTAATACATTTACAGTCTAATATTCTAGTTAAATTGAAAATATTAAATTATAATAAGTAAAGCCGTTTACATATGAGCACAGGTCGCGCCACTTAACAAAAAAAGTAGCCACGTTTTTGCATAAGTTACTTAAGGCCGGACTGGGTAGGCGGGATACCGGGAGTTTCCCGGTGGGCCACTTGTACTTGTTGGGACGTTTTTTTTTTTTTAGGTTTATTGGTTTTATCGGTTACGGGCCTTACGGCTCATCCTGTCGACAGATGTATACGCATTTTCCAATGCGATCGTTTTGGAAAATTGTCCAGTGACGACTCGTGACTGTCGGACATGGGCGTGCGACAAAATATGAAGACAATTCCTTAAACAGATATGAAAAAATGTATAAACCGTCAAAAATAGATGCTTGTGTCATATTATTTTCTCCGTTAATCTGTAATCCCTACGTTATCGTAACACATGTCTGCACCGCCTAAAATGTGCGACAATTTATTATAATCATCACACGAACTCCCGCCTACTCCGGTGCAGCCGAAATCATAATCGACGCAATTTTGCAGAAGAGCTCAAATCCTAACAAATTGCTCAATATGTATTAATGTGTGTATTCTGGAATCTAAACATATGTATTTTAAATAAAATTTATAACATTTCTTTGTACTAAACGATTTTTAATTTTTTTAATTTTTAATAATAATATTAAGTGTTCATATTCTCAAAATAATGTACAATCATTTTATATGAAAATTTTTGTTTTACCTAAGTGGGCCGATTTTTTTTATTTTACAGGTAGAAATTTTTGATTCGGTTCGGTTTTGCATAACTGCATAAGTATGTGTTCAGCGGAATCGATTTTTTATTTTATCTTGTTCGCTTTAACGTTATTTGAGTGCATTGATTTGCCATAAAATTTAAGTGTTCATATATTAAAGTGTTTATTTAAAATTTAAAACGCTAATAAATCGATTAAAAATTAAACACTGCTTAGACGTACTGAGTTTATATTAAATGCACGCATACACTTAACATACGCGGTTTTCTACGGAGTACGATATCATAAGAATTGTATAAGGTTTATAGTACTTTGGTACTTACAATCATTGGCGTGCACAGTGCCCACACTGCTTGTTCTGCCCCGATGCCTTTGACATCGCCAAACACACTGTTTCCTGCAGCACCAGAGAGGGGTGCAATGAATTCTGACGTATACATACACGCTTCGGGCACCCTCTCTCCCCACGTTCGGAATGATAGAACTGCGCCGAGGACACGTTGTTGATGATCTGTTCGCCGAAATTACCGGGTGGGTTGCGGTTCTGCAAATGGCTGAAGAATCCTATACGTAGGGTTTCGTGAGAGACAACCATGGTAATATGGCTAGGCATAAAGCTCAAAAGCTGGACCATATATCACTATCACGCTGCTGAGTGCTGTTACAGATCCTACCAACCAAGTCCCTTAATTTCTCCTCTATGATGCGGCTATGCGGGTGGGACGACGATCGCGGCAGATCCTGCACGAGATTTGATAGCGGTGGACTTGGGAAAATTGGACAATAGTATAGGTACGTTACCTACATGTTTACACTTATACCAACCTTATATTATGTAATACGTTAGTATTTAAGAACATATTTTGTAATTTTTTAGTGCATAATATAAATCCGAACCCCACTAATCACCAAATTAACGTAATTGATAGACGTATCTCGTTTGATAAGTCACTGCAGTATAGGATGTGTTGAATTTAAATCCAACGATAGTCAACGTATTCCATAGGCGGAGATCTTGTGAAATATTGAGAGAGGCTCAAATATTTGATGACAAACAGTCCCGTGGGGTCCCCCACACCCCCAACACACTAATTTTTACATTAAATCACTCGTAAAAAATTGTTCTCGTTGACTCGTTATCATAACAACTTAAATAATTACAAACATAAAAAAAAGAATAATTAATTAAGTACAATTACCATTTTTAACTTAATTTTATTATTCTATTACATTTTTTGTTAAAAGTATTTAAAATAGCTTCATTACTTAAAGCTTTAGTCTTATCTTTTTCAATACATAATATTGAAAGTTCATTAAATTTTTTTTGATGCATAGATGTTCTTAGCCATGTTTTTATTTTCTTCATAGCAGAAAAACTTCTTTCGCACGTAGCAGAGCTAATAGGTAGTGTTAAAGCAATTTGTATCATTTTATAAAAATTAGGAAATACTTGAGGTGAAATATTCTTTTCGATATCTTCAATATCGCCTCTTTCAGGTTCAACTAGATAGTATATATTATCTATGATAGATACCTAGGCGAATACTAAATTCATAACTTCCCTTTAGTTTTGGTCTTTTAGGACCAGACTCTAAATCACCCAAGTCTAAATCTGAGTCGTATACAACTACTTCAAATTGATCAGTAGTATTTGTCGGTATCTCTTCAGCTGTTTTTGATTTAAATTGAAATATTTCAAACATATTTGAACTAAATTATTTATCAAAAATCTAAATCACAATCTCAAAAGAAACGTATTCCCAAGAACATCAAACAAGTAAAATATAATTTAGTATAAAAGGGTCAATACGGTTACCTACGGTTACGACTTACGGTATAACACGGTACGAATACGAATGTACGATACCCATTACACAATGTACGAACACGATTCATTCCATCACGATAAACTTTACGATAGGTTTAATCCAGCTATAGCGATAGTCCTATAATAGTTATCGCTTCTCGAGGATTAACAAAAATTAGAAAAGAAATAATATTTTTCTCATCTATAAATAGAACGGCGAATATGTTATTCAATATTGATGGCCAATTGGTACAAAATATGTACAATATCAGGTATATAAACTTTAAACACAATATAATATTATTGTGAATTGTGACTTAATTGTTCGGTGTGTTACCGAAAATAATAAATTGGTAAATAGTATGTATGTAATGTACCTACTAGGTGCACTTATGTAATTGTGAATATAAGAATATAAAATAATGAAAAAAATTCT